ACCCTTTTGGGAGTTAAATGGATGGGCAGGGAGGAAGTACGGTGGGCCGGGAACCCGAGACCCAGAAGAGTCCTATATGGAAGCCGGTAACTGCGATTCCTCGCGAATTTCAGGAGTCCGTGCGCCTGAATGCTTGGTCAACACCGCATAACTTTTGGATTTTCCCCTCACCTAATTTTTAAAGAGAAAAATCAAGGGGTGGTACAGTCTGGCGACACTCGCCTCCTTATTTTATCGATGGGAAAACATTTATTACAAATTTCGCTTGCTTTCAACTACAGAATCGTTTGATATTTTCAGGCGGGTGTCCATTCAAAGCCATGGATTAAACTGTTAACTTTCCCAGCCAAATCTCAACAACATGGACCGGACCTCCCACCCCCAATCTCCGGTCAATGTCGTGTCTCATGGGTCATGGTCTGTGCAACCTTGGGAGGGTGTGGCTAGCGCACGTGTTCCAACAATTTTTTGCCCGGATAATCGTGCCTGTGCTTATGTGTATGCAGGGAAGCCTGTTATTAATTCATATCCTTGGTTATCGTCGAAAGATCAACAGAATTTAAAGACCTTGGATCTCAACTTTGTTAACTAACAGTGGTAACAAGCTGAAGTGTAAGGGACACTTTGCTAACGGCGCATAAAATGTTTGTGAATTATCTATCCTGCGCAAGACAACATTGCATGATTTGATTTCTTCACCGAAAAGAGCGCGCAAATAGTATACCCTCAAAAAAGCGGGGCGCGCGCAATGTACATGGAACAATAACAACACAACGCATCATGGAAGAATTTGGGTCTTTCATTTAGTCCTTTCTTTCGGGGTTTTTGATGGATCATCGTTACATTTTTCGAGGCAATAACGGAATTACAAAATAAGAAAAATCTCACAGGACTAAAAGTTGTGTCTGTACGAGAATGGGCCTTTCAAATTCAGAAACGCATAAATTTTAGACAGTCATTGACCGAAATGCCATGGTGCATCGCATAGGATGAACTCCTGTAAAACCGTTGTGATCGTACACCACGGACGTGTGTAATAAAATCTGGACTCGCAATGCCCTTTTCAACTTATAGAGATTATTGAATCCACTCGCGGCCAGTTTACCATGCCGAATACAAAGCTTTCCTGGCAATTTGTCCAAAATATAACTTCTTCTATTCAACCGCCGGCCTTGAGAATCAAAACCTTTACTCCAACACTGGCTTGTACACAGACTGACGTATGTAAAATAGCATAAACAATGATGTGATGTGATGTAAATTTTGACAGTCTGAATTTGCAACTATTTATTTCAACGACAGCTACAATTAATTTGTTTTCATCTAAAGCCTCAAAATTTACCTTCCTGTCTAAGTTAACCTCACTTTCAACTTTTCACTATTTCAAAGGGTGTTTTAAATGCCTGTTTTGTTTTAATGGCAATGAGTATTCCCGTATTCAAGCACAATTGTCATGCTTGCCAAAAAAGGGTTAGGGATAAGGGGGTTAGGGTTAGGGATAGGGGTAAGGGTTAGAGGTAGGGTTGGGGTCAATGGTTGGGTTAGGGTTAGGTTAGGGTTAGAGCTAGGGTTATGGTTACCTTAGGGTTAAGGTTAGAGTTACGTTAGGGTTAGGGGTTAGAGTTACGTTAGGGTTAAGGCTAAGGTTAAAGTTAGGGTTAGGGGTTACGTTAGGGTTAGAGGTAGGGTTAGGGGCTAGGGTTAGGTTAGGGGTTAGGGTTACCTTGGGGTTAGGGTTACCTTAGGGTTAGGGTAACGTTAGGGTTAGGGGTTAGGGTTTGAGGTGGGTTAGGGTTAGGGGTTAGGGTTAGGTTAGGGTTAGAGCTAGGGTTATGGTTAAAGTTGGGTTAGGGGTTATGGTTAGGGGCTAGGGTTAGGTTAGGGGTTAGGGTTACCATAGGGTTAGGGGCAGGGTTATGTTAGGGTTAGGGTTGGATTAGGG